GTTACATTCTGTTAATGAATAGAATGATTTGTTCTAATGGTGTTTGTAAATAGGATCACAAGTCCGCATCTTATACAGCAATTAACCACTAAGAAGAATATATGCAGTGTATTATTTGTTGAAAAAAAAATAAAATAAAAATAAAATAAAATAATTTCCAATGTAAAAAAAAAAAGTTTGACAGAAAAAAAAAAAGAACTAGAGATAGTAAAGTACAATAAAATTGAAAATTAAGGTTGCACAATGCTGTGGCATTATCACCATTATCCTAATAACCAAATGTTTCTATGACCCTAGAAAGAAATCCCAAAACTCCAATTTCAAGTCAGGGATTGTGATGACCCAGCCCAGCCCTTTTCCCCCAGAATTGCCTTTGCCATTGTAGGTCTCTTCTGGTCCCAAATGAATTTTAGGATTGTTTTCTCTAATTCTGTGAGATATGCTGCTGGTATTTTGATTGGGATTGCATTAAATCTGTATAACGGTTTTGGAAGTATGGCCATTTTCGCTATGTTGGTTCTCCTAACCCAAGAACAAGGGATGTCTTTCCATTTTCTGATAGCCTCGTAGAGCTCCCTTTTCAGAGTACTGCAGTTTTCACATAAAAGTCTTTTTCTTCCTTCATTAGATTGATTATTAGGTATTTCATTTTTTAAAATGCTATCGTGTCAGGGAAACCTGATAACCACTACACTACAGAGACTGTTGGGTGCTGTTGTGAAAGGTGTAGATTCCCTAGTTTCTCTCTCAGTGAGTTTGTTATTTGTGTACAGGAAACCTATTGATTGTTGAGTGTTGACTTTGTATCCAGCTATGATACTGAGTATGGTTATTAAATCTACAAGTCTTTTGGTGGAGTTTGTGGGGTCTTCTATGTAGAGTATCATCATCTGCAAATAATGACAATTTAACCTCTTTGTCTCTTATCTTTATTCTTTTATTTCTTTCTCTTGTCTAATTGCTCTAGCTACTGTTTCCAGAACTACGTTGAATAAGAGTGGTGACAGTGGATATTCTTGTTCCTGATTTTAAAATGAAAGCTTTCAGTTTTTGTTTATTTAGTATGATAATGGCTGTTGGTTTGAGGCTTTTATCAGATTGAGATAAAGACCACCTAGACCAATTATCTGTAGGGTTTTTATAATGAGTGGCTGTTGGACTTTGTCAAATGCTTTTTCTATTGAGATGATCATATGCTTTTTCCCTGGGTTCTGTTAATGTGGTGCATTACATTTATTGATTCACATACATTGCACCATCCCTGCATCCTTGGGATGAATCCTACTTGGTCATGGAGTATAATCCTCCTCCTCCTCCTCCTCCTCCTCCTCCTCCTCTTCTTCTTCTTCTTCT